CTAGCAGAACATGGGAAGCTGGAAAAGTCCTAGACTTAGGATAAACACTACTTCACAACAGCCACAACATCAGCGTGTTACCAACATTATTCTCATACTAAATCCAAAACACACTGTACCAACTAGAAGGAGAAAAGGAACTCTATCCCAGCCGAAAGCCTGTCCAGGAGAAAGTGCCCAACTTGTGGCCTGAGGCTTCAGCAAGTCTTGCTACTAAAGCCAAGCAATGGATTCCACTTGAGCTACAGAATGACTACACCACCACCTTCTTCCCCCTCTCACTCTAGCTGACAGCAGAAGAAGTTCAGAGCAGCTGGTCTCCCCAGAAGAAAACCAGCTGCTGTGACTCCTTCTCATACCCCAAGAATCTTGTGAGCAAAAGTGTAGCGGTTTGAAGATGCAAATATTTTTAACTTACAGTTTTGTAAATTAAGGCAGATTAAGGTAATGAACAAACACACTGGTGACTATTTCTCTGTTAACATGCCCTTTAAATGTTTGTCTGGCCACAAGCTGCTAATTCTACCTACCTTCTGCCAGAATCAGTAGCTTTTGAAGACTTTGTTTAGTAACGGCACAGTCAGCTATACTATACAAAAACTTCTTGGCGTCTCATATTTGGTACCCCGGAGTGTTGCAAAAGTTAAAACTTTTTTGTTCTGTTTTACAGGAAAAACTGGTTTCTTCCTGCTCCAGAAGTTTCTCCAGGAAGCCCTGTTCACTTTAAGGTTCTGTCCAAAGAGCTGATGCCCTGGAACTCTGTGAGGTTAAGCTTTGAATTATCTGGTGAGTGACTGAAGCTTCTGGTTTGTGGCTTGTTTTTGTTTTTATGCCCATAATAAATCAGGTTTTGACTCCAGTACTGCAGATTCTAGTGCCGTTCCCAAGACAGTGAGCTTTGTGAGATCAGTGTGAAGGAATTGAGTTCTGTAACACACTGGAAGCTGTGGGTGTTGTGTTGCAGTTGTTATTTGGGAGACCGATAACCTTGGCTATTTTGAGTAAGCCTTGGTCTTTTTATAGCAAGTCCTTTCTTAAGGTCCATTCTATAGCTGTCCCTCTCCTACATCATCATCTCACTTATCTCACCGCTGAGAAAGAACGGAGGCTTCCTCTGTGAAGAAGACAGTTGTCTGATATTTTGGAAGACTCAAATAGTAATATTCGGATAATATGCTACTGTATAGGAGAACGGGGTTATTCTGCCTCCGCGTGATGGTACGTCTGGACACATTCCCGTGTCTCTGCAGGCCCAAGTCACATGTCTCTGTATTTTCGGCCGCGCGAAGGATCGGCGCTGTCTGCCTGGTCTCTCGGGGATGGCGTGCCGGTGGCCAGCTTAGGAGGGGACTACTTTGTGTTTTACTCCCACGGGCTGCAGGCCACGCCGTGGCACTTCTGGGTGGAACTGACGGTGAGTATGCTGCTGCTGGAAGCCTGGCAGTCCCTTGGTCCGCCCTGTTGTCACTGTTCCTGCGAAAAATATCGTAACAGCTTTCTTAAGTTTTGCTTTATTTCATAGATCCTAATTCTAGCTTCCTGCTCTTAATTTGTCCCTCAGCTTTGTTTGGCTCACATCTGTTTCTGATGCTTAGTCCACTAACTTGTGAAGCCACCAAAGGGAGACTGTTTCCCTTGTCTCCATGGTCGTTGGTCATAAGCCTGGATTTCTCTGATCTCAGCTTTGTATTTCTTCATGTTTTATCTTTATTACTATTATTTCAGAGTTCTTTTTCCTGTTCTGAGTAGTTTCCTTTTCATGTATTTTTTTTGCTTGGTTTTGGGAAATTACAGGGAATCCTTGGTGGGAAATTTACCTGTCTTGAAGCCAAAGAGGGTTGTGAAAGCTTCTAAATTTTCTCTCATATTATTTTCAGTTGGAAGCAGGGCTTCCAGTATTGTTGTCCAGTGGGACTTACGATCCCCTCCGCAATAACTTGACAGTGAAGAACTTTTTTGCAGATCTGCATGTTTTTATAGGTTTAACCGTGTCCTGTTCTTTGAGTAAATATTACAAGAACCTTTGAAAGTTCACAAAGTCCCTTGTTCCTTCCTGGATCAGGCAGCTTATATATCAGCATATAAGCATGGGACTTGCTCTCTTGTATATAAGAGTGCTGAGTCCCCACTCCTTTACGTGGATATCTTATAATTAATCTACTCTAAGTCTCAAGTTATCTTCTAATTTATTAGAATTGGCTTATTTTTGGTATCTCCTCTGGAGAGACTTCTGGTAACGTGACAGTATTGCACTTTGCTAATACATTTAACTGTTTCTTAAAATATTTAACTAAATAATCCACTGAGGGTACTCGATAAAGGCAGACAGGAGTCTGCAGTGTGACAAACTGCCTGATCGACAGTGGCAAAGCTGGGCGGAAAAGGCTTTCCATCCTGGGGATTCACAGTAGAAGGATCAGGATGAACACTGTGTTGGAGTCGTGTTTGATCCGACAGCAAAACGGGCAGATAGAAACGCTGAAGTTGGAGCATGTGCAAGCGATGTTGTGTGTCAGAGGCACGATTACCTGGTTGCAATTTCAACTCAAATTGGACTCGCCGTGTAATCAGACTGGTAGTTTGGAAGATGAGAAGTGGTTTAACGTACAGGACAAAGAGCTGCAGACTGAAGTTTGTTACGTAGATGTTAAGTCTGTAGAAAAGTACAACTGGCTTGATCTTACGTTTAAAAGCCAGAAACAATCGTAAAGACTGTGTTGTCCTTTTCTCACCTTCAGGTCCCAGAAAAGCATTCTGATGGAATAGTGTCCCTTGCCATAGCAGCACATTACTTTTTTGGGGAAGATCAAAAGTCGCCTCAACTCGATGCCTTACTGGAGAGGTTTCCAAACTGGACGTTTTCTTCTGGTTGGTCCTCCACCTACGATCTTTTTGTCTTCTAGTGTTGGCAGTGATGCCGCGCTACCAGGGCAATCTCTCTGACACAGAGTGCTGTTGTAGCAAACATGTTCTAAGAAGATGCCAGAGACTTCCAGAAGAATTTAAAGTCCTTTGGCGGCAAATGGTGTTTCTTTGGCAGTTTGGCAATTTAGAGACTACTGCTCTCCTGGGGATATAGTGATACTTCGTGTCAACGTGAATACGGTTCGTCTTGGTTCTTCCACTGAAATGGCAGTTTGACTAGTGGGATTCTTAAAATGAAAACTGCAGTTGAGGAGGTAACATTAGCATAATGTGATGGCAATTGTAACGACAATATTTTGATGTTGCGTAAAGTATAACCGTACTTTACGCGCGTGTGGGGACTGTCGCCTGCCAATCCTGTCCGTCCTGTGAAAGTGAGACCTTCAGCTAGGAGACGCTTGTTCACACGATGGAGGGACGGAGGTGGCAAAGTCCTAAACGTTTTGTCACTGGAAGAAGTCACTGAAAGCTGTCGTGCTTGCGTAGGTTGCGTTCCCAGTCCTTGGCAAACGCACAATGCAGAGAGATCAATATTGTGATTGAATGTTGTAATTATTTATCTGGATTATCTTTTCCAAATAATGTTTCTGTTAAAAACTTAGCTCCTACCCTTTTGCCTGTCTCTTCAGCGTTACAACTCATAGAATCATAGAATGGTTAGGGCTGGAAGGGACCTTCAAAGGTCATCTAGTCCAACGCCCCTGCAAGGAACAGGGATATCTCCAACTAGATCAGGTTGCTCAGGGCCTTGTCCAACCTGGCCTTGAATGTCTCCAGGGATGGAGCATCCACCACCTCTCTGGGCAACCTGTGCCAGTGTTCTACAACTCTCATGGTAAAAAATTTTTTCCTAATATCCAACCTGAACCTACCTCCCTCTATTTTAAAACCATTACCCCTTGTCCTATCACAACAGGCCCTCCTGAACAGCCTCTCCCCACTCGAGCGAGTAAGTTTGACCTAACTGTCACATTGTGGTTTTGTTCCTGTTGGGATCTTTCAGTATCAGCATATAAGCATGTGACTGTCTCTCTTGTATGTAAGAGTGCTGAGTCCTCACTCCTTTACGTGAATGTCTTATAATTAATCTGCTCTAAATCTCAAGTTATCTTCTAATTTATTAGAATTGGCTTATTTTTGGTATCTCCTCTGGAGAGACTTCTGGTAACGTGACAGTATTGCACTTTGCTAATACATTTAACTGTTTCTTAAAATACAGTTTGCTTTCCATAAGGAAAAATACCAAGAAGAGTCATCTTTAAAAAGATGTCCAGTATCTCTGAATTGCTCTTGTTTTATTTCCACAGGACGGGTTTTACAAATGGCTGTGAGCGATTTGGAGTATCTTCTAGTTGTAATTGACAAGCTTTGAGTTCAGAAGCCACTGACCTTTCGGTTTTTTATATTCTGGGGTGTTTTTTCAGTGCAGTGTAAGAGTTAATAATTATTAACAGTTAATTAATTAATAATTAACTAATAGTTAATAATCAATAATATTAACAATAGTTAATAGTTTCTGAAATTCAAAGAACTCTGTGTACCTGAAGAAACTTCACGCTTTTTTCCAAACTATGATAAAACATTCTGTGACATCAGTAGCGTGGTGTGAGCTGTGACGGACAGCAGCTCCCCGATCAGGTATCTTGCCTCCAGATTGTTCTGTAGTTGTGTATGATAGTGGCAAGAACCAGTTTCGTTTTCAAGGTGACTTCACAAAAATTGTCAACTGACTCATGGACTAGGGTAAGAGGTTTAATTACTGTAATCATAGTGACATGGCCATCCGTATCTTAAAACCAGTGGGTCTTTCTACACTGATCATCACTCAATTGTATCTGATTTGAAACTGCAATCCCAGTATTACGAGTTTGGGTTTTTTTAAACTGCTATTAATCATTTGAAAAACAGAGTTTTAGCTCATAACTCTGGTGTCTTGAATATAAAAAAACGTTTTGTACTGTACTCTAGCTGATGCACAGCTAGTTAACTAAAGCTGCACTGATGTTTACCGTCTTCCTCAGTTTCGATTCTTTTATTTTGTGTTTTGCCTCTGATTTAAAGCTTTGAAAAAGTGCTGTGTGAAGAATTGGTACTGGGAGCCAAAAATGTAAAAATGCCTGTTAGCAATTTCTGCAACTTCAGTGAAGCAATAACTTTTGCTAACTTGGGATTTAACCTTTATTAAGTAATTAAATTATGAGGGATATCTAGTTTGTTGTAAATTTCTGTCTTTGTAAATAAAAGCAAAACTTATTCAGTGAAACCTGATTTTTCAGCATGATTATGGCATATTTGAGCTGGTTTTATTCATCGCACTAATTTTTTATTTAAGATTGGGGTTGAAATGCTGCTAAGCAATGCTGGAGTTAAGACAGCTAGCATTGGAGCTATGTGGAAAATATGCATGGCCAAAGAATGTAAAAATCATCTGAGCTGAGAAATGTTAAAATGAGGGCCCTGGCTGTTTGCCTGGTGATGAAGGTTCTTCTTGAAACAAGATGTGGTATGGAAGAGTCATTGATATCAAAGTGTAAGTATTCTTTGCAAAACTGGTAGTTGGGTGCAAATTTTGTTGTAGATCACAGGTAGAAAAACAGGATGGAAAATTTTGCTGTTTCAGTGCCCATCTGCTTCCCCATTCAGTACAAGCAGGTTAGTTTGCTGCTGCTGCAGCTTATTATTTCTCATAAGAACTTCTGTGTGTCCTATTCTGTGAAATAGACACAAAGCAAGCAGCTGGTAATTCATAGAATCATAGAACGGTTTGGGTTGGAAGGGACCTCAAAGATCATCTAGTTCCAACCCCCCTGCCATGGGCAGGGACACCCTCCACTACACCAGGTTGCCCAAAGCCTCATCCAACCTGGCCTTGAACACTTCCAGGGATGGGGCATCTACAACTTCTCTGGGCAACCTGTGCCAGTGCCTCAGCACACTCAGAGTGAAAAATTTCTTCCTTAGATCTAATTGAAATCTGCCCTCTTTCAGTTTAAATCCATTGCCCCTTGTCCTATCACTACACGGCCTTGGACAAAGTCCCTCTCCAGCTTTCCTG